CCTTGTATATTTACATGTCTAAATCTTTTGATGAAGCTAAAATATCATACAAATTTTGTATCTATTTCATTTTCTTTTTTTTAAAAATAACATTGAATTTCTATTACTTATATATTAAATTTTATATTATGAATCAAAATTATATTTTGTATTAAAGTTAAGATTGAGATAAAACATTGTGAATTAGGGTGAGACATAATTAATAGTTAATTCAATTGATATAAATCTTGCTTTGTTATATACTTAGTCTTTCTATAATTTTTCTCCTATTCCCATTTATTTTTAATTGAATTAAAATATATATCACAAAACCTAGAAAAGATTTATAGAAATACATTTCAGATGCTACCATTTAATTAAAAAGAAAAGATTTTATCATTAGAAAAATTACTAATGGAATCAACAATTATTCCAAATACTTCATATGCATATGCATACTTATGACGATAGAATGTAAGAATTAATTGAAGGTCTCTTAAATTATTAAGGTTAATTTATATATAGCACTTTTCTTATTCTCCTTATCATAATTATTTATTATTTATGTTTTTAATTTATATTGATTGCTTTAATAACCTAATGAGTATAAATTTTGATATAATCAAATGATAATGAAGTACAGCTATTGATTTAACATCCAATTCTATTCGCATCTATCCGTTTATGGAATGTTAAGACATTATAACAAAGCTTAATTGAATAGTCTGAGCCATTATTTATTTATTTTTCTAATTAAAATGTTTGTATTTATATTCATCAATATAATTAATATGATCTAAATTTCGACATCAAATTTAGTACTAGTTCTTAGGATAGCTTATAAATAATTATAATCTCCAAGATCCAAACTATTTTGAAAATCTTATGTAATAACAATATTTGTAAGAAGATGAAGAAAAAATAGATGAACTTTAAAAACTTGAAGCATTTATTTAATAATATTATAATAATCAAAAAAAAAATGAAATAAATTTGGATCAATTAATAAATTAATTTTGTAGAATAAAAGCAAGATAAAGTTCTTTAAGAAAACTTATCTATGGTTGGCATTCATTAAATTTTATATTATTATGGCTTTTGATAAACTATCACAATCTCTACAAAAATGATAATGAAATGTTAATAGATGATGATTTATATATATGATATGAATTTATCTAGTAATATAAGGAAATGAAATTAAATCATAAGATTTCTCATAGGTGTTAGAGCAAGAATATAGTTTCAAGTTAATTTAATAGGTAATCCAGATGATGAAAGTGTAATAAAAATTCTAAAAGTACATTTAGAAGGCTAATTCTAATCTTTGAAAAATAGAATGTGATTATTTAAATTCAGAACAATAAAATTTGTTTTTATTAAGAATTTTCTAAAATAGTTATAGTTGAAAGATAGATAATTTTACATACTTTAATAAAATTTTATTTTTTTATTTCAAAATATAAGTAATAATTTTTTAATTTATCAAATCAAAAAAAATTTATTTTTTTTTAAATTTAACAACTTTTTAGGTCAGTGGTTTCTTAACCCTTTAAATTAAAATTGTTTGCTTAATAATTTTTTTTGAATTCCACTTGAATGAGACATAAGTTGTTCAACTTTAATATTGGATTCTCCCACTTTTGTTCTAATCTTAAATGGCAATATTTTTTATAATTTCCATAAGAGTATTAGTTCATTTAACTAAATTAATTGGATTCATCTATAATTGTTCGATTAGCTAAACCTCCTACTTGAGAAAAAGGAGGGTATGAATTTTTGAACTATATGATGATCGAGTATATGTTTATTTGTTTTTAATTTTCTATTGTAAATTATAAGTTTGAATTTAAATTTTATTATTTAGCACTCATTTCTAAAGGCTCAGATAGATAATGGATTGGGTGTAACAAGTCAAAATTCATCCAATAATAACCTTTTAAACATTAGTTCAGTTGAGAAGGAGAACAACAAAAAAATCGATTTGAATGCTAAGAAGTAAGATGGGATTATGATAGCTAATTTAAATTTATAATCGACTTTTGGTGAGAAAGTATTAGTTGAACTATTTTTGAAAAATATTTATGGTCGGACTTTAGATAAGCATGGAATTCAACACAGGGATTCAAATCTTTTTAATAAAATAAAATGAACTCAAATGATTTGGCTCTATTTAAGAATGAATGAATTTTTGAGAGCCTGTTCTTTAAATCATACACAAATTATACAAAATTAGGTAGCAATTGATGCAACATGATATGTAAGAAAAGCGATCTTACTTGAATATCTTTAATGCCAGCTTTAAAATCACACGTGGCTACCAATTGCTATATTTTAAATTAAGTGTGTTAAAAAGATAGTTAGCTGGAGATACTAAATAAGATTAGAGTAGGAATCAAAAATTAAACAAAGCATAAGTATCAGCAGGTTCTTAGGGAATTCAATTGTTATTCAGAGTTTTCGAAAGAAGAAACTATATTCTAGGAAAGGCTAAGATAATTAAAGAGATAGCTACTAAATGGAAAATCTTTTAACCACTTGTACACCTGTAATCTCATTATATAGTATTTATATATAGATTTTTATTTGATTCTTTGTTCAAATTAGATGCCTAAAAATCTCCAACTTTTCATCAGATATAGCAATTTTTTCTTAAAAAACGAATAATATGATCTAATGAAATTGCTATAATTTAAGAGCCTTAAATCATTGAGAAAGATTTAATGTAAAATCTAATATTCTTACATTCAAATTAATTAGAACATGTTGAATCAAAATTTTCTCTTCATGAATTCATTAAAAACCATTAAATCTTTCATTCACTTGTCTATGCTTATTCCTATCCATTAATATCTTTTTAGGCTTGATTATGTTACTTTCTTCTACCTTTATTCACTTTTTTTGAGACATTCATGAGTTAAAACAGATAGTTAAATAAGCAATAATCTATTTTTTTGTAAATGGTTTTGTATTATGGATAAGGTGAAACTTACTTTTTATAGATAAAGGAAGATGAAAGTTTTGGTTTATTCTTACAAATTAATCAATAATATACTTTTCATTATTTGCTATATAAGGTACAGTACTCTTTCATTTGTATTCACATTTTGAAAAATAAGATTTCTATTTTTAAAAGAAGTTATTCATACTTTTGTTTAGAGGCAATTCAATCCATTGAATTCTTAAGAGACTTTAAGGTGAAGTGAAATTGACTTCTCTTCCATTTTATTTCAAGCCTTAAGAGTCTCAATATCTGTTTTAGTAACTTATATCTTTTCTTAAATAAATATCTCCTCTTATACTTCTACTCTTAATTACCTCCAGTCTCCACTTGCAATTCTTCTTATTTTTCTAAAATAACTGATTGTTCTTGTTTTACTTAAATTACTAAAACATTTTGTTGAAATTATTTTTCAATTTCTTAAGTTAAATTTTTTTTATGCTTTTTCTATTGGCAATTATACATCTAAATCAAATACTTGGTTTTTAAGAAATCTTTGAACATTTTTGAGAAATTGTTAATGAAATTTTATTTCATTTTACTTATCTCAGCTTCTTTAATCATCATTAAAGGCAACACTTAAACTATTATTTCCATTATATATGGAGTTTCTGTAATGAAATATAAAAACGTATGAACACTTAATTGCTGATTTTTTAATTAATTTCATGTAATTTCCAAATAAATTCTTCTATTTTTTTGGCTCTTGTACTCTTGCCTGATCCAGCTACTCTATGAATTAGCATTACTGTTTTTTCCCCTGTTTGTCCTTCTAATAAAAACTCATTAACTTCACTTCCTTTATCATCAAATTAGCTAAGTTCATCAACTCTTAATAACCCTTTTCTTATAAAAGTCAGTTATCAATCTAAGTTATTAACCCATTTCACTAATATTTCCTAGATATTCATCTAATTATTAAATTGTTTCATAATATTCTTTTAGTTGTAAATCCCGTTCATTGAGGTTAGCCTCATTACTAATTTTTCTAACTTTTCCAATTATTTCCAAACATTTTGAAAAAGCCTGATCATCCAAACTTAAAGTTGCTTTAATCTGAAGATTATAACAATGAGAATATTAATGTAAGGATTTTAGATAAAATATTTATTTTAGAAAATTTAATTTATTTGAATTTAAGGAAAAATTATCACATCTCCTTAAAATAGTTTAGGATGAAAGGTAAAATATATAAATACTGAAAAAAGATTGAATCAATGTCAAATAGGTTAACTATAAAAAAACAACTTCTGAACAACCCTATTGATCCTTTTGATAGGAATCCATTAACTTTATGGTGATATATTAGAAAGAGTTAAAACGGAAGATAGATTATAGATTCTTCTAATGCGGATGTAGAATCTGGAAGTGTTAAGGTAATCATCAATTCAAATTGGATAGCGATGCATAATTTGTTTGGTATGGTTAAGAAGTAAATATATATTTAAATATTTAAGTTATCAACTAGTACTGTGAATTCAGATGCACCATTATAAAAGTAAGTTTATTCCTAGTGTGAAACTCCCACCATAAATTATTATAGTGAAGGAGCAGATGAAGGTAATACTACTGATGAAGAAGAACTCCTTTCTCATTATATCTAATTATTATTTCATTTCTGCAGGAACTTATTCACTGTCTTTCCCCAAAAAATAAATAATGATAAACAGGAATTGTCATTTGATTTACAATGAAGCCAGTAAGCCCTGGAATTTTTCCATTTAAATCTCCTTACAAATAATGTGCAACAGTATATTAAGCAAAATAAATAGTTGAATCTGAAAATGATTCAATCAAATATTTCTTATCCCAAGGTATTCTTGTGCCTAACCCAAGACTTCTAGAAAATCCCCATTCTCTAATCCAATCTATAGCTTCTAATAACTCTTATTTTACTATTGCATTGTAAGTCTCAAAATTATTTTAAACTTGTTCTAACTTTGTTTTTCCATTCTTGGTTATCATATGTGATATATCATTGTTCACAAAAAGATACAACACCCTCATCACCATTTCTTGAAATCACAGTGTTCTCTGGTTCAAAATAAGGTAAAGCTTTACCACTATCAATCATATCTTTTCTAATAAATACTTTTGCATCACAAACTTTCATTCCTTTATATTTTCCAATTATCATTTTTCCTTCAGAAAAACATGTCTTCTAAACTTCTTCCTAAGCTTATAATAATAAAAATTGTCCTTCAATGATTTAATCTTGTATTTATCGCATACAGTCAAAGCAGTTAAATTACCATATTTAGGAACATCAATTATTGGAATTGCTTTGAAATTAGCCCATTCAGGCTTGATTTGATAAAGTCTGCTTTATTTTGTAAATCTCTTAAAGTAACCCAGTCCTAAGGGGAATCACTTGGTTTTGATGTAGCTACTCCTGTTGCTTTATTGATTTTAATTCCAGGCATAGGTAAAGCATAAATTATTTCATCATTTTCATTTGTTAATCCTTGATAAGCCATATTCAAAGCAGATCTTTCACTATAGATAAAATGAGAAAGTTAAATTTCCATACAAAAAATTCATCATTTTTCATTTCGAATACTCCATATTCACCTCAGGCAATACAAATAAATTAGTTTAACCATACAATGTTTATGGGCTCAAAGTTGCACTAACTAAAAATACATTTTTCTTTGTTAAAGAATTTATAAATTCTGGTTTTAATACCCTTTACTTAATTAATGTATATTCCTATTGGTTGCCTGCTCCTTCTCCTCTATCAAAATCAACACATAATTAATTATCTGATGTACTACAAATTGATGGTTTTTTTCCAAATTTTATATATCCTGCCTCCTTCAATTTGGTTAAATGCCATTCAATAAATGAATTAAAATATAGATTTTCATCAGTTGTAATAAAGCTTCTTCTCCAATCTACAGAGCATCCAAAAGATATCAAATCTTCTTTGACAAGAGATGGGAAAAAACGAATCCAATAATATGGATCAGTAAACTTAGGTATCTCTTCTTATTTAATACCCACTTAAAGTAAGGATTAGTATTAACTTCTATTTGGTAATTTACCTCCTTTTTACTAAAATTAATTCTAAATTTACCAATATATCCAAATCACGTTATGGTTTTTTAGCAGCATCACTTGTTGTGCAAAGAAATGCAAATGGCAAAAGTACGTTTTAACCTTAAAATCTCTTAAATCTTGCAATGAAATCGCATTTGCTCTAAGAAAAGACATGCCTTAAATGCAATCTACCATAAGCCTAGAAATATATTAATATATATTTCAATCATAAGGGAATGGAAAAGTTAGGAAAAATTACTTTCTATCATCTGGATTAGAATTGAAGGATTATTAAACTACTAACTGTTCTTAGATTTGTTATTCAATAGATTCAGTTTATCTCTTCTTGCATAACTTTATTTTTGATCCATAAATTAAAATATTATCTGGCTTTTTGATTTGCTCAAAGCATTTAAATATAAATAATTGTTATTATATATTTATTCTTTCATTAAATTAAGTAAAATCATAATTCTAAAAAATTCGAATATCTCCAGCTACTTTATTTTATAATTGATTTTAAAGAAGGGTTGACTGCAAATTCATTTGATTTAGTAAAATTGTTAAGTATTTACTCATTACTTATATCATATATTAAAAGTCCTATTCCAACATAAGTCATTAATTTTATTCTCAATAATATCAGATGTACTATTTTTTAAAAGCATAATCACATTTCTTTTATTTTTTGATAAATAAATGAATATTTATACCTAAATGTCCTTCCAAATGAAAATGATAAATTGAAAAGCGAATTATTTTCTATAATCTCCTTTAATATCGTTTTATCATATTGAACGATAATCAATTCTATTTTTTTAATTATGGCAATAAAAAAGTGATACCAAATGTTTAAGTATTAAAAAAGATCTATAAAAATATTAATTTTCATTTATTACCTTCTATTCCATCATTATATCTAGATAAAAAAATAATAATATTTTCAAAAATCTATTTCTAAGTGTCTAATATATTCCACATTCAATCAAGAGAATACCTGGTTTATAATAACCTTTTTGATTTAAGATGAAAGAAAAGAAAAATATAAAATTCAAGAAAAAAAATTTAATTCTTCTAATATATATTTGTTAATTTCACTTAAATTGTTTAATTTATAAAATATTAAAGAATTACATTTTTTTAATATTTCTTTTATAAATTAATCGCCCCTCTATAATAAATTTTAAACATATAAAGCGAAAATAAGCTGATGAAATATATATTATTTAATTAGTTTACATCAAAAGAAATTTTAAAATGAGAGAAATAATTACAATTTAAATCGGGTAGGGAGGAATACAAGTTGGAAATGCGTGTTGGGAGTTGTTTTGTTTAGAGCATTAAATTTAGCCTAATGGGTATCTGATCAATCAGCAAATTATGGAAAAGAATGATGCATTAAGAACATTTTTTTCAGAATCTGAGCAATAGAAACTAGTTCCAAGATCTGTACTTCTGGATTTAGAACCTACATTACTAGATTAAGTGAAAACTGGTAAATTTAAGGAAATGTATAACCAAGACTAATATATTTCTGGGAAAGAGGGGGCTGCTAACAATTTTGCAAGAGGTTATTCAATTGGCAAAGATTATGTCGATATATGTTTAGAGAGAATCAGAAAGCTTGCTGATAATTGTTCTTCATTTTAAGGATTTATGATATTCAATTCAGTAGGTGGAGGGACAGGTTCAGGTTTGTGCACATTATTATTAGAAAAACTATCAGTTGATTACAGTAAATAATCTAGATTGTGCATAAATTTTTATCCATCTCCAGAAACTTCTGTTTCTATGGTTGAACCATATAATTCTATTTTTGCAACCTAATCTTTATTAGAACATGCTGATGTTTGTATCACTATGGATAATTAAGCGATTTATGATATTTGTAAGAATAATCTTGAAATCGAAACACCAAAATATTCTAATTTGAATAAGATAATAGCTCAAGTGATTTCATCAATAACTACACCTATGAGGTTTGGCGAATCCTATTGTAATGACATAAATGATTTGCAAACTTCTATGATTCAGTTTCCCATTCTCAAATTTTTGAATTCATCTTATGCTCCTATAATATCTAATTAAAAGTTGAACCATAAACAGCTTTCGATTCTTGAAATTACAAAGCTGACTTTTCAAACAGAATATATGATGGCAAAGTGCGATCCAAGATAGGGGAAATATTTATCATGCTCAATATTGTTCAGAGGGAATATTATTCCAAGGGATGTTTCATATACAATCAGCTAATTAAAAAATTAAATAACAATTAGATTTGCTGATTGGGCACCAACAGGTTTTCGAGTAAGAATGAATGATCCAGCCCAATAAACTTTACTAGAAGATGATGTATATAGAGCTTTATAATCTGTATGCACGATTTCAAATACCACTGCGATATCTTATATATTTTAAAATTTATGCCATAAATATGATTTAATGTTTGAAAAAAGAGCCTTTGTACACTGGTATATCAAAGAGGGCATGGAGGAAGCAGAATTCATAGAAGCAAGAGAAGAATTAGCAAACTTATAAAAGGCTTATTAGGAAGCAGATACAATAACATTTGAAGAGTATTAATAAGAAAATGAATCAGCATGAATATTAAAATAGAAATAATAATCACTAAAAATGTTTATCTAAATTTTTAGACTTTAGCTTAATATTATATTTATAAAACATTAATTGAGTAATCATAAGAGATTAAATTATTTATATTCTATTAATTTTAAAACTTAATGAATTTGATGTATGTTTGAACTTAAATATATTTACATTCTTGTACATTCTAATTGACATTATAAAGTTAATTTGTTTGAGATTAAAACAAGTAGTGCTTATTTTAAAATCTGAACATGTTTTAAAGTTTCAATTAATATAATATGGTTGTTTATCAATTATTATTTAATTTAATTATTTTAATTTATTTTTAATTACATTAAGCATGAATATTAATAATCTTCCCATTGTTATTCAAATTTTCTCCTTTTATAAATTTATTCTCAAATACAATACATCCAAACTAATCTATTGAGGAAAAGTCATTTTTTTTTTTAATCCGAAATCGAAATCGTTTTTTATCTATTATGTTTCTCACAAAATATTTTCAATTTTTTTTCTTCCTCAGAATTGTAAGGAAAATCACAGATTTTATTTGTTATAGAGTAACACATTTGTCAATCTATGATTCAAATATAAATTATTTAATATTTTCTTAAAATTATAGCATTAAATCCAATTTAGATAAAATAATATGTCAATTAATTTCTTAAATCATTATAATTATTGAAATCCAAGTTTTAAAATCATGTTTATATCATTTTAAGTCTCTAAATAAATAGTGAAAATTTTCAGCAATTAGAAAACTATTTTTCCAAAATTTCACATTAACTAGAATCTACCTATTAAATGAAGATATGATTTTTAGTATAAAATAATATACATTAATAAAAATATAATAATTTGATTATGTTTATTTAGAGAAATTTATGAATTCACAACCAATACAAGAATATATTAAATTTTCCATATTGTATGAGTTGAAATTCTACCTAATTTTATTTGAATCACTTTTTCTTTAATTGACAAGATATTAAGTAGTATCAAAACATCCATTATTTTTAATTTCTCCAATAATCTCTATTCCAATCATAAGTTTTCTCCATCTTTTCGATATTATAAAAAGAGTATTGTTTAAGA